TCTCCTGTGTAATGTACTGTTATGCTCAAATGGCCCATCTGGAGACAGCACCTCACTTCGTTATGATTGTAATGGGCATTTTGACTGGAGAGGCCACAGCATGAAGACAGTGTTTGCTCCTCACTGTGTCCCCAGCACTTATAGCACAGAGTCTGGAACACCGATGGCTCTTCATCGGAAGTTTTTTGAATGAATGAAAAACCAAACAGATAACACCAGGTAGCTAAAAATGCAGAGACTTACAGGCTTTTTTAGACCACACTGAGCAAAGACCCCATCTCAGAGGTTTATGTTGGCAGACTGGAAAGATGGATGCGACATGGACATGCTCCCAGTTGGCTTCCCCAAGGGAAGAAGTGCTTACTCACCCAGGTCACAGGTTCTGCCAGTGTCTGTCAGAGCACTTAGGAAGAAACTGTTACAAGAACATTTCTCGGACGTGTTTCCTTCCCCTGTATTTGAAGATCAACCTGATCACAGCTATTAAGGGTCTGTAGGAGCAGCTGTGTTGATGTCTGTGGTCTTAGTGTCAGAATGGTTTTGATTTGTTTATTTAACTGATGACTTCTGTCCAAGATAGGGTCTGTCGCTGTAACTTTTTCATTGATTCTGCAAAGGCATCGGGTTATACCTGCTCTTTCATGTGGTGAGAGCATATTTTTAACGGTGACTTACCCCACTTGTTGTGCTCACAGTCCCTACATATGACAGTGAAATAAAGGAGACAAAAATATCATCAGCACACCTGAACCCTTGCTCTGCCTTCCATTTTAGCAATCTTTCTAGAAAAAAGAAGTCAGAAAAGTATGCTAAAAAGAGGCCCATCACATGGGTCACATTTCTGACTGCAGCCGAGGTTGGACTGAGGACAGAGGGTTGGTGGATAAGGAGTAACCAGGTTCATCTCTGCAAATCTGTGCATCTCCAGGGGTAAGCAAGATCATTTTAGACAAACACGTTAATAATTATATGATTTATTTTTAAGTGTTAGATGAATACACACTTTGACTTCACAGGTATTACTGCTAGGGTGAGGCCAGAGTAGGTAACAAATGAGTTGACTTAAAGAAAACATTAGGTAAATGATAGAACAGCTACAGGCAGCTAGGGCCAAGCTGGTGAGGATGGGGAGGGACTCAGGTTTCGGAAGCACAAAGACAGGAAGAGATAGGGGGGTAAGGAGCTGATAGTGAAGAAAGCCAACATTTACTCACTTACTAGGGGCTGGGCACTGTTCTAAGAGTTCTACATGATTTAACTTGTGGAATCTTCCCGACAGCCCTGTGAATTGGGCACTGCTGAGGCTTGGGAGGTTCAACATAGCCAGTAAGAGGCCAAGCCAGAATGTGAACCAGGCAGTGTGATTCAAGAGCCTGGGCTTTAATTTCTGCACTCTCCCCATTCTCAACATTAAAATAATAATACAACTACAGAAACAAAGCCCCCTTTTGCCCTTGCAACCTAAGACCCA